AACCGCGCGCTCCGCCGGCCGCTATCTAGCGATGATTTAACGAGGCTGATGTCGCCGACCGTGGCGCGGGTCGGCGCGAGGCTAGGAGGTGGGGTGGGAAGAGGGCGTTTTCATTACGGATTTTCGCGCTTGCCTGGCCTCTTGCCGGCCAACGTCAACACGGAAACCGCCGGCGCCGGGGGGTTGCCTATGCCGCTGTCGTCGGCGGCGACCTCGGCGGGACGGGACTTTCTCAGCGGGGACTTGCCGTCCGCGGCGCGCGTGGACGCCAGGATGTGAACCCGGCCAGAATTTCAACTTGCAAGTCGTTGTCGTAAAGCCGAATGTGAATGCGAATGCGAATGGCCACCGCTTATGCCTTGCTTGACGTCGGCGACGTCGTCGTGTCGTCGGGGGCCTGTTCGCGAATGGTCCGTTTCCGCTGCCAGGGCCGCGGAGACCGCGTCGGAGACGCGCTGACGGATGGCGTCGCCGCCCTGCCGAACCGGAGAATCGTCTCACAGTGGGCCAGAAGACCGGTGGAGGCGGCCAAAACTCTAGACGCTTTTTGAGCTCCAGAGTCGCTAAATGGGACTCGAACCGAACGTGTGACCCCACCAATGGATTCCTCGTTCGGAGAGCAATCTATTGGTGGGGTCACACGTTCGGTTCGAGTCCCATTCAGCGACTCTGGAGCTCAAAATGCGTCTAGAGTTTTGGTCGCCTCCACCAGTCTACTGGCTCACTGTACGTCTCGTCGCCCTGCCTCTGTCGCACTCGCACTCACGGTGCGCTCCACGGGGGCGCGAGAGAGACAGAGCGACGAAAACGACTCGCTGTCATTGCCTGTCGTATCGACGCGCGCCGTTTATGTATACTACATTTTCGGATCGCGAGATAGACCGACGTGAATAGCACAATGGTGACGCGTGGCGGGGGATTTGAATGGAGAGAGAGATAATTGCGGCTGTCATTGCGATAGGAAAGGGATAGCGTGACTCCGTCTCCCTCGCTCTCTCGGTGCGGCCGGTAAAGTGGGTCGATAGTCGATAGTGTCGGTGCGAGTGGCAGTGTAGTGGCACTGGTGGCGTCGCGTCTCGTTGTCTCGTTGTCTCGTTTTCGGAATGTCCGCCGCTTTTAGCCGCCGATCTCCTTGCCCCCGCGCATCGCGTCGGTGTGGGCCGCGCGGCCGCGCCGACGAGATAGCCGCGGAGGTGCGGCGCACAGTGGGCCAGAAGACCGGTGGAGGCGGCCAAAACTCTAGACGCGTTTTGAGCTCCAGAGTCGCTAAACAGGACTCGAACCGAACGTGTGACCCCACCAATGGATTGCTCTCCGAACGAGGAATCCATTGGTGGGGTCACACGGTCGGTTTGTGTCCCATTTAGCGACTCTGGAGCTCAAAGGGCATGTAGAATTTTGGCCGCTCCAGCGGTCTTCTGGCCCACTGTGCGGCGCGGCGCAGCGCCGTCCCGTCTGGCCGCCACTGCGGCTGCTTTCACGGAAAAAAAGAAATTCGCTGATTTAGCGAGAAAATCGCTGACTCAGCGAATTTTGGCCTTCTAGATTTGAGACAAGGGGCAAATTCGCTGAAACAGCGAACTTTTGTTCGCCAAACAAATATTCGCTGGAATAGCAAACAAATATTGCTGGGATTGCGATTCATGAACGCTGGGGCAGACACGGAATATTGGCTAGGAAATGTGTTAGCGACTTTGGTTTCGCTGAAGTAGCGAACAATTTTGCCCCTAATTTGCAAAACGGTACGCTGGCTTTTAAACCAGCGTAACATAATTGCTGTTTGACATTGGTAGCAACGGATGTGCACCGTTCCTGATCCTGGTGCGCCTAAGTTCGAAATATCCAAGTCGGTTGGATTTGCCCGTTTTCTTTTCTCCAAGTCCGCACGCTTTACCCCTCCTTGCCTCCATGACGGTTCTCCGCGCACAAAACCCGGAGGTGGCGCACTTGTGTCCTGGGGGCCAAACTCTTTGACGCTGTTTGGTCCGAGTGCAAACAGACTCGCCAACGGTACCGCAAAATGGATTGCCTCCATCAGCTAACCTTGGGGGTTCGCAAAATCGGTGTTATTTAGCCTCGGGGTCAAAGGGGGTAGAATTTTGCCCCCACTTCAGCAAACTTGAGTCCTAGCGAAGCACAGTCCCGCTGGAGCGACACTGCCGTTTTCAGTCCTTCTCAGTTGCTGCAGTACTTTGATAAGGAAATGCAATCAGCAAAAAAAGAAATAGCAAACGAAAATAAAAGTGAAATAATGATTAAACAAATTGTTTTTCAACATTTCTTTTCCTCTCGATATTTATTGATAAGAAAAAGCAGTTCTTGTTTTTGGTCTGAGACGTCGTGAGGAAGCGACACCGAGGGAAAACAACGCCAAATCGGAGCGTCAGCGTTCGAGGGGGTCCAGACGACACGAAAAGTGGGAAACTGCGACCGAGCGTCGCGACGACCACGGCGAGCCACGCCACTAATAGTCGCCACGATTAATCGTTTCGCCGCGTTCCTTCGGACGACGCTGTCTCTCTCGCGCCGCTGCGGGACGCCCCGTGAGTGCGAGAGAGACAGAGCGACGCGGCCGGCGGGCATTCCGACGCTATCGTCGTCCAGCAGGCGGACGCACCTTTCGGCCGATCGAGACGTCTCGTCTCGTCTGCGCGACGCCAGTCGTCGCTCTGTCTCTCTCGCACCTCTACGGGGCGCCCCATGAGTGCGAGAGAGACAGAGCGACGACTCTCGGAATCGGTGCGCCGGCCGCGAACGGACGGACGACGTCAACGCGAGCGGCGCATTCCGCGAATGGTGGAATGGCTCGTCCGTTGCTCCGTCACGTTCATTTCTCGCTGTTATTGTCATTTTTTTCCGCCGCCGTGCGCCGTGCACAGTGCACCGGCGACAAGTGTACCGGCACCGTGCTCGGCCGTCTCCGCGGACTCGCGTGGCGCATGGGAAGCTGCGGGAAAACACGTGTTCTTCCCTTTCCTTTCTGCGCGGTTTTGGTTTCCGGGAACATCATCCAGGTGGATCCCGCGGGATTCTTTTTGTCCGCGGACGCACTCACACAAACAAACAAACAAACACACACACAAACACACACACACAGAGCACGCAAATAGTCCTAGTACACACACACACACACACACACACTCGCGCGCGCACACACACACACACACACACCTTACTCACCTACACTTACACATGTGTACCTACACACACTATCACACCCACACCAACGCGCGGATTGGCGCTGTGGCAGTGGTATAATTGCGAGCGCAGGCCGTCTAATTCGGGCCCGGCCGGCAGGGCATTGTCGCGCTGGGCTGCTAGGGCCTCGCTGTCCTGTCCAGACACCTCGCAGCATGCATTATGCAACGGTCAGGCCGCCGGCGTCAGCTAGCGTTGGCTAGCGTCAGCCCGCCGCCGGGCCGTGGGTCTGGCCTGGCGCGCCAGAGTGTTTGACAGCCAAATCGGGTGGCGGGCCCTCTGGGCGAGGCGGGGCGGGGCCGTCCTTGTTGTGGCTCGGCGGGCATTGTGCGGGCTTCGGATTGGACAGCGGGGCGCTAAACGGGCAGCGGACAGTGGGCGACAAGTGGCTACCAAAGGGCGACTAAAGAGGTGGACAATGGGCGGTCCAGAAGCGTCCATAAAGTGTTGCAAAAGAGGTGTCCAAAAGGTGGCCGAAGGGCGCTCAAAAGGTATTCAAATGGCGAGCAAAAAGTGGCCAAAGGGCGTGCTAACAGTGGCCAACGGGTGTGTCAAAGTGGTTAGAGGCCGTCGAGAAGTTGGCCAGAGGGCGTTCACAGAGGGTGGCGTTCGAAAGGTGGTCTGAAGGGGTGGCTATAGAGTCGCAAAGGTGGCCCAAAGGGGTGGCTAGAGAGTCGCTAAGGTGGCCCAAAGGGTTGGCTAGAGAGTCGCTAAGGTGGCCCAAAGGGTTGGCTAGAGAGTCGCTAAGGTGGCCCAAAGGGTTGGCTAGAGAGTCGCTAAGGTGACCCAAAGGGTTGGCTAGAGAGCCGCAAAGGTGACCCAAAGGGTTGGCTAGAGAGCCGCAAAGGTGACCCAAAGGGTTGGCTAGAGAGTCGCTAAGGTGGCCCAAAGGGGTGGCTAGAGAGTCGCAAAGGTGACCCAAAGGGTTGGCTAGAGAGTCGCAAAGGTGGCCCAAAGGGGTGGCTAGAGAGTCGCAAAGGTGGCCCAAAGGGGTGGTTAGAGAGTCGCAAAGGTGGCCCAAAGGGCGGCCAAACCGTGGCCAAAGGACGGTTCCCGAAGTGTGGCGGCGGCGTGGGATACATCCTTGACGGTGACGGCGTGACGGGCACCTCGGGCGGACACACGGGGCGCCGCCGCGCCGCGCGTCCCAAAGAAAGACCGAAGGTAGCGCGGCGACGCGGCGGCGATATGTTTGTTGGCAGTGACTCCGATGACGTCCGCCACGGCGACGACGGTGACGGCCACGCCGACGGGGATGACGTCCCGGTGCTATTGCCGCCACCGCCGCCCTCATTTCGCCCCGCGCGCCGATTGATCAGTCCGGGTTGTGTGTGTTTTTGAACGCGAGCCGCGAGGCCGGCGGGTCGCCGGGGGCCACCTGCGTGCGTATGCGAGTGTGTCGGCGTGTGAGTGTGTTTGTGTGTGCGAGCGCCCGGCGTCACGGTAGCTCGCGTCACGTTTACCCCTGGAGCACGCCGTCGTTGCGCGTCGTCGTCGGCGTGCTCGCGGACCTCGCCGCTGCCCCCCGCGTGCCCTGCACGTGGGCCCCACGTGACGTCACGGCGTGCGTCAAAACGACACATGTCCCTCGCCCTTTGGACCCCCGCACTCCGCCTTCCTGTTGTCGAAGTGCTCGGCCATGTGGGTCTCGTCCGTCCGCAGCGCAGCGCAGTGTCACTGTCGCCGCGCCGGGTCCTGATATCGACCTCGCCGTCGAGCCGAGTCCGGAGTCTTCGAGTCGTCGGTGCAGTCTTGCAGTGTGATGGCCGACCCTGGTTGACGCGTTGCTCCTCGTGTTGCAGGTCCATGGTGCCGCACTCCCCCGCAGTGGCCATGATGCCCCTTGGCCAGGCCAGGGCCGTCGACCGCATCGTCGCCTGCGTCGCCAGGCGGAGGGAGCGGGGCCTGCCCCGGAAACCCATCTGAACCTGAATCCGAAGCACGGACCGACCCATCTGAACCTGAATCCGGACCAAGGACTAACCCGTTAATGACTAACCGCTGCCTGCACTGACGAGTCCCGCCTCAAGACTGGATACCGCCGGCAGGGAGGCCGCCAGCCTGCAGGCCGCCGCCAGCCTGCGGGCCTTCGCCACCTTCGCCAGCCTCCTGGACCACCAGACACAGGTGAGCCAGCCAACTCCGCCAACTGCTGAGAGTCGTCGCTCTGTCTCTCTCGCACTCGTGGGGACTGCCGTATCGGTGCGAGAGAGACAGAGCGACGAAAACGACTCTCGGAATCGGTCTGCTGGGCTGCCGGTTGTTGTTCGTCTGTTTGTGTCGTCGGGTTGACTAACCCAAGCGCACCGCAGGCTCGCCGGGACTCGAATATAGAAGTAGAGCGGGCTTATGCGAACCTGCAGACTCACTCAGAGAGTCCGTCTTCGTCGCCGTGTCTCTCTCTCTCTCTCTCTCTCTCTCTCTCTCTCTCTCTCTCTCTCTCTCTCTCTCTCTCTCTCTCTCTCTCTCGCTTTCGTGGGGCGGCCCGATCGGGTGCGAGAGAGACAGAGCCACTGTCTCGGAATCAGTCTGCTGTTGTTGACACAGGTCGGCGGACCTGAGAAAGCGCCAAGGAACCGTCGTAGTAGTGTGTTGTAGTGTATCGGAGGGTTCGAACGGGACGGCGAGGCGGCTCACTCTGAGGCTGGGGCACGTTGTTCACTGCCAGCCGCGCCCAGCCATCACGCCATACTACTACTATGTTAGTACCGCCAGGTTACCGGTGTCATTAGACGCCATTTGGATGCTGCCGCGCTGCCACACTGCCATGTGCCGGCGGAAGGTGGAGGAAGGACTCCAAGAGGGACCGACCGGCCGCCTGCACTTGATGCATATATGACGTAACGGTAAAGTGCCGCCGCACAGCCGCTGCTGCATTGTGTGTGTGCGTGTGTGTGTGTGTGAGAGAGTGAGAGAGTGGTGAGTGAGTGTGTGTGTGTGTGTGTGTGTGTGTGTGTGTGTGTGTGTGTGTGTGTGTGTGTGTGTGTGTCCATTGCGCAAAGGCCCACTTTTCGAGTGCAGCGGCTGTGTTGCTACTGCGGCGGAAAGTCAAAGCAATCACGATACACGGCAAGCCCGCGGCGGCGAGCCCTCGTTGTGTGTGATGGGCTTGTGTGTTTTACAGCGGTGTGCAGGAGGAGGAGGGGGAGGGGGGAAGGGGCTACCTATGTACGCAAATTGCCTGCAAAGCATTCTTATTTTCTGCTCCCGGCCTGTCCGTGTGTTTCGCGTGTACTTTGAGAAAAAATGAGACGGAATTATGAAGCGTGCGTGGTGTACGGTAGTGTTGTCATGCTGCGCGGCGCGGTCGCCATGGCAACGGGTGGTGGCGTCGTCGTCTCGCAGTGCGGTGCGCGTCTTTCCGCGCGCTGGGCAGGATGATGCTCTGCAGACTGGTTCCGGGGGAGTCTTTTTCGTCGCTCTGTCTCTCTCGCACTCAAGGGGCGTCCCCTGTAGGCGCGAGAGAGACATAGAGCGACGACTATCGGAATCGGTGTGCAGGAAGATGACGAGCGGGGCGTTTGCGCGGACCGTAGCCTCGGTAGCCTCAGCCGGCGTGGCCTCGGGGAGGAAGCACAGGGGATCGCGCGGCAAGTTCTGCGCTGAATCTGCCCGCATTCGCATTTCGCATTTTCCACTGCCGCCGCTCCGCCGCTCCGCCGCTGGTGATGGCGATGGAAAGCGCAGCAAGGTCCCCGTGCCGAAAGACCGCGCTTCGTCGCTCCGTCTCTGTCGCACTCAAGGCGCGGCGTGCCGAGGAGTGGAGTGCGACAGAGACGGACGGAGCGACGACACGGTCCTCGCGGAGCGGAGGGATCCACAATCCGTTCGTGTTTTGGCGCGGCACTTGCCGTTCGTTGTTGCTCTTGCAGTGCGGAGCGCGGTAGCGGCGCGAAGTGCCTCGCGGGGGCATTGGCAGTCGCCCCGCCCCGCCCCGCCTCGCCCCGCCCCTCTCCCGACGGCGACGCGCGTATTTTCGTCTTTTCTCCCTTTATGCCGCGGTGCCGCGCGGTGCCGCGGTCCGCGAGCCAAAGTGTGCGCGCAGCCCTCGCGCCCGCCCCACAGTGGGCCAGAAGACCGGTGGAGGCGGCCAAAACTCAAGACGCGTTTTGAGCTCCAGAGTCGCTAAATGGGACTCGAATCGAACGTGTGACCAGAGCAATCCATTGGTGGGATCACACGTTCAATTCGCGTCCTATTAAGCGACTCTGGAGCTCAAAACGCGTCTAGAGTTTTGGCCGCCTCCCCGTCTTCTGCCCGCTGTGCCGCCCGGGCACGCGGTCCGCGCCAGCCCCGGAAATGTTTCCACCTTCTGCCCAAACGCCACAGCCAAAGCCAGCGGCCAGCTCAGACCGCTTTTGTTTCTGGCTTGGCTCGGTCCGCTATGGGACCGATCGAACGGCTGCCGGCTCCGGCGGCCACGTCATCGCGGCCGCCACCCTGCCGGCTGCCAGACGCCTCCCGAGCATCGCTCTGTCTCTCTGGCCACGTGCGCCACGGGGCCACGCGGCCACGCGCCGCCCCGGGAATGTTTCCCTTTCTGCCCAAACGCCAAAGCCAAACGCCAACGCCGCGCAGACCTCTTTTGTTTCTGGCTTGGCTCGGTCCGACTTGGACGCGCGTCGAAGGCTTTCCCGCGCCCCGGCGCCACCATCCGGCCGCCACCCTGCCGGGCTGCCAGACGCCTCCCGAGCATCGCTCTGTCTCTCTCGCACTCGTGGCGCGTCCCGTTCGGGTGCGAGAGAGACGGAGCGACTCTCGGCACGGCCGGCCGGCAATGGCCAGCGGGTCATTGAGGCGCGATCGGGCGGACTTTTCCGTCATTGACATTTGTGTACACAGCAGCACAGCAGCGCGTCCGTGTATAGTACTCGAGGCACACGGACCGGCCCGCTGCGGGGGGGAGGGGGGAGGGGGAGGCTCTGCGTCTCGACGGACACTCCGAGCAGCAGCTGGTCACGGGGCGGAGCAGGACGGACTCTGGCCGCGCGGCAACGCCGTCGACGGCCACCCGCTGCACCTGCTGGTCGTCCTGGAGGCCCTGCCGGCCTTGCCCGCCTTGCCACGCGCCCGCCCCCGCCGCTGCAGTATCGGCTCTTGTTGTTGTTGTTGTTTCTGGTGTGGTGGCGGCAGGGCGGCAGGCAGGCGAGGCGTGCAAAGTGCACGGCACGGCACTGCACGTGTGCGAGTACAGTGGCGTGGTGGTTGGTGACGTAACGGGCAGCGCCCCGCCCCGCCGATGACGCCGAGGCTGTAAAAAGAGGCAAGGCGTCTGCGGGGGGCGGCCCTGCCCTGCCAGGCGTTGTTGTTGTTGTTGTTGTTGTTGTTGTTGCCTGGTGCGTGGCGCGAAGCCAGGGGGCGGGGGCACCGCGCGCACTATCTCAATGTGTCGCTCTTCGGAGCCCCCGCCCAGATCGCCGAAAAAAAGTGGAAGAAACAAAAGTACTGTGAGCAAAGCGGGCGTCTGCGGCCGGTCTGTCTTCGGCCGGCCGGTTCCGAATTGTGGTGCTGTCTCTCTCGCACCCCCGCACCGTTCAGTGCGTGCGAGAGAGAGAGAGAGAGAGAGAGAGAGAGAGAGAGAGAGAGAGAGAGAGAGAGAGAGAGAGAGAGAGAATAAGCGTGCCGTCGCGTTGGCGTTAGCGCGCGTTAGCGGGGCCTCGCGAAACGTGGCGGCGCCAGACCGCGCCAGACGCCAGGCAGTCTGCCGCCTTATTTCTATAAATATTTGAAAGCGACGCCTGATTGGCTGCACGCGGCTCGCACGTGCGCGACGCGTGCGCACCGCGTGCCCCGCCGGGGCCCCCGTCCGGATCAGTGGCCGACACTGCAAAAGCGACTCGGCGTGTTTCGTGGGTATTCTTTGGCGAGGGACGCCGACGGAGTCCGGCCGGTTGACGCGGTGCTCGGCGGACCGGGCCGGGCCCCTCGGGTCGGGCCATCGGGCCACGCGGCGCAGCCGTGTCCCCCGAACAGTACTATCATCCCATCGGGGCGGGGCGGGGCGGGGCCGCGCACAGTGGGCCAGAAGACCGGTGGAGGCGGCCAAAACTCTAGACGCGTTTTGAGCTCCAGAGTCGCTAAACAGGCCTCGAACCTAACGTGTGACCGCACCAATGGATTCCTCGTTCAGAGAGCAATCCATTGGTGGGGTCACACGTTCGGTTCGAGGCCTGTTTAGCGACTCTGGAGCTCAAAACGCGTCTGGAGTCTTGGCCGCCGCCACCGGTCTTCTGGCCCACTGTGCCGCGCCACTGCTCGGGTTGTTGGCTGCCGTGCCGGGCCGTGCCATTCCCACTCCATTTATCACCAATAAGTACTGGCGGTGCCGTTGCCGCGCGTCGCCGCTTCCCCGCGAGGCACGAGACAGTCGTGTGGCACGAGGCCGGTCACGATGCTGCCGTGCCGTTCCGTTCGTGTCGATGCTCGACTCGGCCGACGCCGCGCTCCCGAAACCGAGCGCCAAGCGAATAACGCTGTGCCGCTGGAATCCGCGGGGGCGGCGCCGGTGCCAACGACTGCGACGGCGGTTGAATCACCCAGTGGCGGGTCCAGGTGAAACGAAGGGGGAGAAAGGGGGGATGGGAACCACCTAAAAGGAAGGCTAACTGTTGCAAGTCGGCTACTTTCGCTACAGCGCCCCTCCCCCCTGGACGATCTGTCCTTGAAATCGCCGGCTGCCGTTTGCCGTCGATCGGGGACCCCGCGGAAGGTGCTCTGGTCTGGCGAGGCGACGCGCGTGGTAATTCGATTCCCCCTCCCCTGCCCCTTTTTTCTCCGTACCGTTTTCGCACTCCTTGTCCCGCTGCCCCTCGCGGCGCGTTCTATTAATACGTGAGCAATAACTCCTCGGCGCGCTGTTTAAGCTCCAGTCGGCCGTCGCGGATGCCGTGGCCGAGCCGCCGCTCTAGAGCGCGTTAACGGAATGGTCACCGCTCCGCCGCTCGTCGGCCGGGCCGGGCCGCACATCACAGTGGGCCAGAAGACCGGCGGAAGCGGCCAAAACACTAGACGTGTTTTGAGCTCCAGAGTCGCCGAACAGGCCTCGAATCGAACGTCGTGTGACCCCACCAATGGATTCCTCGTTCGGAGAGCAATCTATTGGTGGGGTCACACGTTCGGTTCGAGTC